AGTCCAATAATAATAAAAAACGTAATTAATAAAAATCAACAATAATATAAATCGTGATGTCCGTATCAACTCTCCCGGGGTGGGGAGAAAACTCGACCCTGTCGAGTGAATAAACTTCTACCACGGAGGACAATCTTTCGTAAAAATCAAATATCGAAACTCTATGCTTGATAGTAACAAAAACTGCAGCTTATTCCCAAGAATATGATCCGGCCAAGGGGGACGATCTCTCAATCTAATCAAGTATCGATATTGGACTCCGAATAACAAACACTCATACAACTCATCTTTAAAACTTTCATTTGCTTGTGCATAATGAGGAACATAAGAAGTTAGCATCGCAGATTGGCCTGTAAAGAAAACTGATCGCAACATCCAAGGCTCAAATGGGCCCCGATTAAGAAACAATTCTTCTGTATTAAAAATATAACTTTCATTTAAGTGAGATGGTCAGTCAAATCGAAAATCTTTATGTGAATTATCCAAAAAAAATTTCTTCTCATTTTTAGGAAAACGAATAAGAGAAACGCGCAATAAAGTATAGTAATTTTCAATATGGTACTCTAACATATATTGCACCTCAAAAGTAAGTTCAAAAATTTCATGATTGAAATTGATTTGACCTCTTAATTTGGCATGAAATTTAAAAGCATTGTCAACAGGATGATTAGCTAACAAAGGATGTCGATAATTAATAGGCAACATCCTAATGTCGATACGAAGAGTGTGCAATCGAGTAATGGTATTAGAAAACAATGTGGCAACCTGTGAAAACTCATGTAATTGAGGGAAAATTAAAACATATTCAACATGAAAGTCATGTAACCTAGTAGGCATTAGATCTAAGATATCTGAAATGTCTGACTTTGATGGTATTGTTTTAGGTAACTTCTCAATTATGTCAATGTTACGTGTATCGGTTACAGATGCAGTCACTATAGGGAGACAATACACTGTTCACGACTCTCGACTTCTGTGAAAATGGAGGAAAGAACTGCAATATAATCATGTAAACAAACCCCTAAAGATTTTATAGCTCGTGACAAGTAAGGTTTGATCGTGTCAGCATATTTCTCAAAAAGTCTTTCCACCACACTAAATTTAATAGGAGAACCCTAGTGTGTTTATTTTGAACACTATCCAAAATAAGGGTAATCAAAGTTAGAGGAATATTGTCACTTTCTTCCAATGTAAAGGCCATTATAGTCTCTATGGATGTGAAGACGTTCCCTAAACGATTTTCGTTTAAAGCTACAAGAAAGTGTTGGAACATGTCAATTATTATACATTTACAACTTAAGTCCAACATGATAAGACAATACTTCGCATTAGCCATAGTATCTAGTATCCTAACTGCCTAGCATACAAATTGATGGATGTGCTGGTGAGAAATGCAAATGATGATATAATCGAGAGAAAAATGTCTTGCATTATTTCATCACAGATAGGGGGATCGGGTACTGTGAAGCGGAATATTTCACCAATACAACTGCTACTTGTATAACAAAATCGAGATGTCTTAATAGTTTATTTGAGACCAATGTTGTGCTAAGTGTATTAATAGATGTGAGCATGGAATCAACAAGCAAATGGTCAACTTGGGAAAGTAAATACTCAGTATATTCAAGTACCGAAAGGAGCTCATTAATAGGTAATNATAGATGTGAGCATGGAAACAACAGACAATTGGTCCATTCGGGAAAGCAGATACTCAATGTATTCAAGTAACGATAGGAGCTCATTAAAAGACAATGAAGATTGAAGAAGTTTCCTTCCATTTGTTAACAAGTGGACTCCTAACGTTTAGTATTTATGACATAACATTTTTTTCTTAAAATTGACAAATCAAAACATTAAAATATAAGTACATGTTCAATGTAATAAAATTGTTACCTCACGAAACTTAAAAGAGTCCAACAATGCCCCAATCATGATTTTCCATTTGGCACTGCTACGATAGGCGACAATTGAATCATTTGAGCAGCCATCAAACAACAAGAATAAAAATTCACTGCGACTAACATTAGAAAATTCTCTGTTTCTTTTTTTTTTCACACTATATTCTTTTTTTTCACTTTTTTTTAATTACAAAAATAGGAGCCCAAACCGAGCCCAAAGTACCAATAAAATTACCCACTAGTCAGGAATAACAGACCACACTGAGGCCCAAAAAATACTACACCAGACATTTTTTTTGTGGAAATTACACACAACCCTATTTTTCAAGACTCAAATTCTAAAATCAGATATGATGTTTATTTTTTCAAAAATCAGATATTTCATATATAGATACAGGTTTTTTATATTTAATTAAATACACATGATTTTCAAACACAGCCTAATTAATTTATATACACCCTACCCCAACCACCCCACATATTTTAAATCCCTAATTCTTCATTTCTCGTCCCAGTGACCAGTCAATTCCTTCCATCTATCTCTTCCTTGTCGGCGGCGTGGAAGGGGCGGTGGGTCGGGGTGGCGGTTAGTGTTGGTGGCGGCATCGTCGTCGAAGAACCCCAAGGCCGTCGTTGTAAGGCTTTCTGATGCTGCTGCGTCGCGTTCGGTGCGGTGGTTCTATTTTTTTTTTCTTTGATAAGGTGTGCGGTGGTTTGGATAGCGTCGCGACTATGCGGTGGAGGTTTGTGATTTGTGCGGTGGCGGGGTCGAGTGCGGTGTTTCCGATCTTGAGTGTTTTTATGATTGCCGTGGTGATTTTAAGGTTTGAGCTGTGTAAAAATCTGGTGTATAAAGCAGCCGGCAATTGAGTGTATATTAATGTATTTCAGCCCACTTTTCTGCTGCCCACTATATGCAGGTAAATTCCTCAATTATGCCGGCTAATCCTTCTCAATTCAACCCCTAATCTCTCCAATGTGTATAAACAATAAAATATATCCACTCACAATTTTCCTCAATTCTTTTCTGCCGACGACTGCACCAATTTTTCTCAATTCTATTCAGCCAGCTCCCCAGCTGGCTTTCTCCTCGTTTCTGTCTCGTGTGTGCATATATATTCTCCCTTAGCTACCACAGAATTCTCTTCCAATTAGAATTGCAAGTAGTGGAGTTGAAAATGGTGGTGGTTGTGGTTGTTTTGCCAATGGTGGCGGTTGTGGTGATGGTTTTGGCGATGGCAGGGGGCGGTTTTGTGGTGGTTTTAATTGTGCCCCTTAAAATTCGAATTGTGACTCAAAATTAATTAGGTTATCACCGAAAAATTTACCTGTGATCATTTGAAAATAATCTGTGATCCTTATAAAAAAAATAACTCGTGATTATG